CCACAAGACTGTCCAGCTAACCTGCTTCCCTTTCAGGTGCGTGTCTGGTGTCTTGCTTGAGAAGAAAGCCACTTGCTAGTTTTGAGGTCATTCTTCTGGCTCTGTCTCCCAGGCTCTTAAAGGTGTTTTTTCTTTTTTTCCCCAATTACCAGTTTTGCTAGTCTGCTAATTCTTCTACCCCTTCACCCTCCATGAAGCCGCCAGGCCGGACCTGCAGTTGGCTAGTCTCAAGCTAGAAAATTCAGGTGACTCAAACTGCTGGGACTGGCTCTAAAGATGAAGCAGAGCGGTGAGCGAGATGCTGACGGCTTGGAAAAGGCAAAGGGTCTCGTGGTTTGTCTTCCCTTCCTTTTCCTCTGGGAAGTCTGCCAGGTCGGCTTTATTCTTTTGGTCAAAGGGGAAAAAAGAGGTGCCTATGGTACCGTGGCAGTGTGGTGGGAGCCCTGCGTCCTGGTCCCAGCCCCGTGGCTGGCTGGTGGGACCCCCGCTACGCTGCTTCCCCTCCCGGCTCTTCTCTTTTCCCACTTGCCCGCCGTCTTGTCTCCTCTGCCTAAGCTCTGTGGAGCAGGGGTGGTCCGTACAGTGCCTAGCACCGGACATCAGTCCCGAAAAGGTCTCTCCCGACAAAGTTCGGGATTGTTGAGTGAGCCGTTGTCACTCAAATAGCTCCCCTCCAAAAAGCTGTATCCTTCCGCCTAAATCATTAAGCAGGGTCCCTGTTGGCTTGCAGTTGTCCTTCGTGGAAGCTCCCAGTTTGTAAAGAGACCCCGTTACCAGCTGACCTTGACCTTCCTCACACCGTCTGAATAGGCGCAACCCCTTTCAGACCAAGCCTCTGGAGACATGAGCGATTGCTTACTGTGTTTATGGCCAGAGGTGGGAGAAGGAGGTGGTTTTCCTTGGACGTGGTGCAGCGACCGGCAGCGCTGGCTTGGAGAGGAGCACGACAAGGATGAGCAGGAAGGGAGGGAAGGAGCTTGGCCCACGGGCAAGGAGCTTACTGGAAATGGAGGGCATAAGGGGAAAGGCATGAAGGCTTTGATGGGTTAGGACAAAGCGGGGACCCTTGAACCCTGCTGGGATTCATAGGTGTTCGGTGAGCTGGTCCTGAAATTTGTCCTGTTGGAGTACGAGGCCCCATCGGGACCCTGCGAGTCCTGGTGACGAGGACTGTCCCAGCTGGCTGCCCGGCAGGGGCAGAGCTATTTGGCACTTGAAAAGGTGAGGAGTGTGAACTCGAGGCAGAAAGGAATGGAGTGAGGAAGGAGACAGGCAGCTGTTTGATCTGTTTGCACGGCAGAGAGGGAGTGCCGATGGCTTACGCCGCTCTGGGCTATCCTGTCTTCTGTCCCCTCTGCTCCCTTGTGCTGGCTGGGCTCCTCGGGGTGGTCTCTGTCCTGGGGAGTGCTCCGTGCTGGGACTTTGGGTCCCTGGATGTTGCAGGTCTCGGGAATGCATTGGCTCTGCTGGCACATGGCAGGGGAACGTGCTCCCAGCTGCATGGAGCTCGGCGGATGCCTTTCCGCATAGGACCACGTGCACGGGCAGCCTCCTCTGGACTGCGGCTGCTCGAATTTGCTCTCGGCACATTTTTCCTCCCTGCCCTGGTGGCACATAGTTGGTCGCTGCTGCTGTTCTTGCCTCTGATGGGGACCCATCAGCCCTGAGGAGTGTGTGCCTCTCCCACTCCCCCCGTCCCACTATTCCTCCCCATCTCTTGGACTGACTCCTGCAACGGGCACAGCTCTCTGAAGAAGCCACCTCATCTTTTCAGGGCCCACCCATCATTCCCGGTCCACTTAGCAGCCCAGACGACGCTCCGAGGTTGCGTCTTGCTGAGGTCGCCAGGCCTTCGTGGTAACGAACGCTCATCAAAGGCAGAATGTCGCAGATGCTGGTTTCCACGGTTACCTGCATCCTGCTGATAGCACGCAGGAAATTAAAACACTCTGCGACGGCGATACGCTGTCGGCACCAGATGGCAGCCATTAGGTAGACGTGCGTGTTGGAGGGAAGGTGTATAACATTATGCGGCGGGCACAACTGTTGAACTGGTATATTAACCACTGAGTCACTCGAGGACCAGAGTGAACCTTTTTAACGAAGTTACCGCCGGTGCACGGCACCCTTTGTTCTTGTTCGCCCTGCTCTTTTAATGGTACTCGGGAGCTGTCTAGTAGTTCCTTCAGGCTGCACAAAATACCCGGTATGAACCTACGAGCAGCCTCTTTTCATTAGCTGTTCCTTTTAGGCTGGTTGGATGCCCCATTGAATTGCTAGCATAGCCGTTGCAGGCTTGAGGTTACAGAGACAGAGCAGACAGCAACTTGGGCTGATCTCTGCTTCCCTTTCTGAATAGCAGGCTGGGTCTCTTACCTCGGGGCATTGGTTAACATCCTTCTGACATCTCTCAATATAGTCTGGCCTCTTGGGATCCTCCGTGATGCATGATGTAGGACTGACCTCAGTCGGACGTAGGCTGAGGAGCTGGGTACCGTCCTTCGGGAACAGCACGAAGGCTGCAGGCATTGCACTCGGGCAGCGCCCGTTTGCTACAGGAGGAGCTGACTAGTCTCCTTCCCTCTGCTTTCCTCGCTGTCATCCTTTTTTTAAAGTAGCTCTGTTTGGAGTAAAGGTAAAACAGGCTGTATCTCCATTAGCTGATGGACTCTGTCCCGTGCTTTGAGGGAGCTTGAAGAGGCAAGCGCTGGAGATGGATGGTGTTGCATCAAGCCAGAAACTAGTTTGAGAGGCTCTATGCCATCATTAGCCACAAAGTGAATCATGGGGAAGGGGAATGATCTTGTCAGGTTGCTACCATGTGCCTAAATCACTCTTGCCTGGGTGTGTTTATCCCATGCTAGGCACTAGTTTTTAAGTACAGGGTGGACCTTTGTACTGGCTTGCTTCTGGCCTGAACCCTAGCCCAGCTGGACTTTGCCATGCAGGACATGGAAGAGCAAATACAACGTGAAGATCCTTTATAACCAGGCCTTCTTTTTCAGCAGTAGCCTTGTAATAACGAGTCTTTAATTCCTGAGTTGCTTCATTAGCTGTCTACTTTTCCCATTCTGAAACACTTGGGGAGCCACGCTTGTTTTCCTGTGAACAAATTTGTTTTAATGTCAGTTATGTGATACAAGCAGCTTGAATGGTGCAGGCGGTCTGACAGCCATGGACCTTGCCCAAAGCACGCAGTCTCCAAAACAGATGTCTATGTCGTCTATAGATTGCCAAGAGTTTCAATAGGTCACATGGGCCTAGAAAATTATTTAAAAAACAAGGTTACTGGAGATCATTGATGGGTGATATGCATCTGTCTATGGATAGGGACAGAAATGACATGTAAACCAGTATAAGTGATCAGAAACTGGTCTAAACCTGGGGTCATCTAGACCCAGCACGTTTTCCTGCCTCTGCAGGGGGTCGGACTCGATGATCTATTGAGGTCCCTTCCGACCCTAACATCGATGAATCTATGAAACAGAACAGAAGTTCAGTGCACATAGACTGGTTTCAAAATGGCTGAACTCAGTTTAAGATAGACCTGGATGGATGTAGCATCGGATTTAACCAGTTTAGGTTAGACCAGTCTGTCGAACTTCTGTCTCCGATCTGCTCAAGGTTCAAGTTAACCTCACAGTCCTGTGGCATCCCAGCATGCTGTGTAGCTCCCCACTAACCCCCACCTCCCAGGTTGGGCAGGCTAGCCTCTGCTCCTCTATGCCTCTGGGTGGAGCAGGGTTTGGGGGGAGCCTTGGCCGGGCCAGGGGATACTCCCGGAGGCATGGGGCTCCTCAACATGGGCAGACGCCCCACTCAGGGGAGCCGGCACTATGACAGGGGCTCCTCCCCTCCCTACATCAAGACAGCAGGGGGTTGGAGGCATGTTCCCGGCAGCCAATCAGGGGTGGCCCCTGCTCAGCAATGGCTGGCCAACTGGGAGGCATGCTTGAGCAGCGCTCCCCACTTTCTGGCCTGGGCCAGTGCAGGAATTTGCCTGCCTTTTGTGACTGAAGAGCAAATGTGAGTTCTGGTCATTATCGGTCCAATCTACACAGTTTAGACAAACCTGCAAAGACTGGATCAATTCCATTTTGGTCTTTTTGACTGTCTGTACCTAGCAGGGCTGTGCGAAATGGCACTGTTCTGTTTTGACTTGAGTTTCGACGGTTCAACGGAACAGTGTTTTGTCTGAAATTTCATTTTGAGTCGAAACCGCTGTTCTGTTCTGTTCCGTCAAAACAGAAGGGCTGTTTCGAGGCTGTTTCAAGTTTCGCTGGGGATGGGGAGACAGGCCAGCTGGACTGACTTCCCATCCCCAGCACTAGATTGCCCAGTTGGGCTGCTTCCCCGACCCCCGCACTAGATAGGGCCGGGGGCGGGAGCCAGCCCAGCTGGGTTGCCAGCCAGCCCAGCTGGGTTGCCTCCCGCCCCTGGTGCAATCTAGCATGGGGGTTGGTGAAGCAGCCTAGCTGGGTTGCCCCCGCCACAGCGCAATCTAGCATGGGGGTCGGCGAAGCAGCCTAGCTGGGTTGCCTCCCACCCCAGCACAATCTAGCACAGGTATTGAGGAAGCAGCCCAGCTGGGCTGACGCCCCCCCCCCTACCGGATCTTGCACTGGGGATGGGAAGTCAGCCCAGCTGGACTGACTTCCCATCCCCAGCCTGTGGTCGAAACGTTTCGACTTTTGAAACATTTCAACCAACCTCGTTTTGTTTTGAGGCTATTTCAAGGGCTTTTGTTTTGTTTCGATTTTGCTGTTTCAAACTCAAAATTGGTCGAAACAGTGTCGAAATGAAACAGCCAGTGAAATTTCGCACAGCCCTAGTACCTAGCTTTTAAAGATGCCTCCAATCCCCTAAAATACACATAGATGTTCAATTGTGTATTTGATAGGGTGGATTCTTTACTAAATCAAGTGGAAAGAAAACCGGCATTTCCTGCGTATTGCACATTCTGCGCGTGTACGTTTCTCATGCAAATATTTTAATTTCAGATGTTCTGAATGATGCCATCTTCGATGAAGATCACGATGAGATGGTAATTGTGAAGGACATAGACATGTTTTCACTGTGTGAACATCACCTGGTTCCGTTTGTTGGAAAGGTAATTCTTTGGAAAACAAACCCTGCAATATGCACTGAAACAAATCTTTCAAGTGTGCTTCCTGGCTGCCCTTCTTAAAGCCATAACTATCTGCAGCTAACAGCTGTGATGTAGATATTCAGAATACAAATTATGAAAACCTCCTTAATGCAAGCTGTGTGTGGATTTAAGCCCTTAAAATATAATGCTCAACCTTTATCAGTCTGATTAACCTAATAGTTTCTGACGTTTTAGATCAAAGCTCTTCTTCATGAAGCAGTTCCAAGCCTTTAGGGCAGACATCTTGATATTATACCAGGTCAGCCTGGACAGGAGCTTTGCTTTTGCCTGAACAATTGAAAAGCCAGGCAGTGCATATTCATCTCCAAATCCCACAAATTGTACAAGCATCTGATTAATGTCACTGTCTTAAATGGGCAAGTACAATGGCAGCAGAATTGCAGGTCCAAAGACATCCAGAAGTGACTGATGGTTGTATGTGGAAGCTGAGCTGCTCAAAAAGCCTGACTTCCAGATGATACCCTTTGAAAAGACCCCTTTGACCCTTCTTTTAAGGGTTTTCAATTTGCTAATATTTATTTTGAGGCCCTCAGAATAATCAGTTATTAATCATGTGATCTGCCACTTTTTGCTCCCCTAGCAGCACTGAAAGATGAACCACTCCCTAATTCATAGGTTGTTAGGGGCTGGAAGGGACCTTGCAGATCTTTGGGTCCAGTCCCCCTGCACTAGGCAGGAAAAGACAACTGGTCAAGTGACCCCAGTGTGGTAACTGTCTAGTCTCCTTTTGAAGATAAAGATTTCACTGTTGCATATGATTAGAAATAATAAAATATTACTATGCGATGCCTCTTTGCACTGCACATGTGGGCTGTAGAAAATGCAGGTGTTCCCGTGTCCTTTAAAATTCTCTCCATGCCCACTTGTGTTCCCACGTGCTGTATTTTCGTGCATACAACGTGCCCTGGGATGTAATATGCACCTTGGTTTTGGGAAGGCAAAATGAAAAGAATACGATTTTTCTAGCATTACAGCTGCATAGAGCAAGGACAAGAGCCAAAAGGCCTGCAAGGCTGTGAAATAGGAGGAGATAGCAGATAGCAGAATTGCCAGAAGGAAGGTTAGTTTGAACACCAAGACTATTAAAAAGGCCAGACGACACCTGTGGAGCAAAGTAAAAGAGCCATTAAGTCAATGGACTCCCTTGGCTGCTTGAACAGCAATGCTGCTGCTGCTCCTGGGCGTTTGGTTTTGGAGCAGAAATCAAAATGGGGTGTTCTGATTCTGGGCAGAAAAATCAGCTTCCCTGCTTAAGGCACACAGCTTCATTTTGGGGGCCTGACTTTGGGGTACAGGTGCAAAAAATACGGTCCATTTTCTTAAAAGTCAGTCACTTGAAGAGAAGCCAGTGATGCATACATCTGGTTGAAGGTCATCACCTCTTGTTTCCCTCCCTGCCCTTTTGCTAATATTTATCCATGGAAAGTAAAGCTACTCTTTGCCTTCTGGCTTTTTAATGGCCTGTTGTATAGTTATTGTACAGCGTGTGTCTTCTTCTTTCTTATTACTTCTGTGGCGTTCTTTTTTATGTTTTGCAGCTTGAGCCTGTGTGGTTTGGAGAAATCTCTTTGCAAACACTGACTCGGTCCTACCACTAAAACAGGCAACTGACAGCCTTGGTTTGCCTTGAAGTATCGTTGGGCGAGCCATTCTCCTGTTGGGTACATCAAGCATGCTACCAATGCTCGCCAGCAAATGGTGGATTTGCTGTGCTGTTTAAAAACTCACGGCCAACCTGTTTTCCACGGGCAGCAAAACCTCATTGCTTTATCTCCAAGTAGCTGTGCTTCTGACTTGCTCTGAAATGTTTCGTGTCTTCCAGGTGTCAGCTGGTTGATTACCCAACAGAAAAGTGATAGAAGTGAACAATGTAGCCAGGTAATTAGGGGCAATTGTGGTCTCATTAGCCACAGGTGCAGCACAACAGGCTTCCAGAATATCAGTTCTCTCGGCAATATGAGAGAGTGCCCCATACTGACCCCTTCCTACTGTTGTAATTTGGCCCATATATCAAATCGGTGGTACAAGGACACCAAATGGTGGTTTGCAGTCTGCTAGAACGGTAAACCCATGTCAGCTCATTGGCACTTTTTGCCAACCTCTGAAAATTGTCACCGTTTTTGGGACAGTCTTTATTGGAAACAGAGAATACTCTAGTTACATATTAAACTGGAACAATGTTCAGATATGCGCTATCTGAACAGGACAGATATGGGCTTCATCTCATCTTCTGTAACATCGGTGTTGCAGGCCTTGGCCTTTTAAATGCGTTTCAGTTTGTCGGTTTATTGCCAGATGAATTTTCCAACTAAAATAAAAGGACAGGCTCTGTATTTTAAATGTTTTGTAGGCATTAAAAGGAGGCTGCATTTATCTTAGCTGAACTTTGCTGTACTGAGTGATAAATGCTTCCCTAAAAATGTCTATATCTCACCTCAGTGTTAAGGTCTGTGTGTAGGTTATAGCCTTCCTGAGAATAGATAAATGAGCCTAATAACCTCCGACACGTAAGAGTGGTGATCTCTTCCAGTAAACGTAGCCGCTGTACACACGAGCACTGAACTCGCCAGGCACCGTCAGTCTCTGCTTGCTGCTCTCTCATCTTTTAGACTTGCATGGTAGCACTTCCTTTCCACATGCTGGGACTTCTGGATGTTAAACCCACTCCTGTTTCAAAGTTTGACATGAAGGAAATGCACATCTTGTACACTATGCATGCATTTCACGGGTGTCCTCAATAGTGTGTTGACCCTGCTAATGGCTGACTCTGCTTTTTCCAGGTACATATTGGTTATCTTCCCAACAAACAAGTCCTTGGTCTCAGCAAGCTTGCTAGGTAAGTGCTAATCTAATGAAAACAATGACAAATTGGATTCTGGGCTGTGCTAATCTCTCTAATCTGCTCCCCCTCCAAAATGCAGCAGGCAGTATTTTGTTCTGGGTTTGGATTTAAACCCATCTTTATCATTAAGTCTGCTGGAAAACCAAAGCTTATATTGCTGCTCTCTGCTGGTTTATACCAAAGCTGCTTGGGGGGGGAAAAAAATTGCAATGCTTCCTGCAATATACCTGAAAAAACTGATGTGCTCTGGTCTTATCGTAGGTAGAGCAAGGGCTTATTTTGAGAAGCTAGTTTGGAAAACCAGCCACTAAAAGCGATGACGTTTATTAGCTGATTTTGACTAATAAAAATGGACTCTGGGTTATAAACCTTCAAGACCTGTAAATGGTAAATAAGCATAATTACAGTCTATCTCTGGATTATGTTAAATTGAATCTCCAACTTTTTTTTTTTCATCCGTGTTAATTGACTCTTCAATTAAGTCTGACATTTTGTTTCCCTGGAACCTGCGGCGAGCCTGCCTCGGGATGGCGTTTATTGGTGACGTGCAGATTAGGAACCAAAGTCATAATGGGACACTTCAGAAATCTGTTTGCCACACAAATAGCTTTCCCAGCATGTGCTCTTGGATCAAATGCTGGGCTGAATCTGGCAGAAAAATGACATTTATCAAGGATAAGGACTTGTGGGCGATAGCAAGGCCATAGCAAGCATATATTAGGTTGTGAGCCGCAGCCCCGTGAATGGAAGGAGTCTGTCTACTCCCTCTCCGATACAGAGGATGTACACATGTAGTTCCCAGTAACACTACTGAGAGTCAGCCCTGTAAATCCACGTGCATGCTGGGTTTTCTGAGTGGGAAGGAAGTGGGTAGACGATGCCACTACAGCATTTTTAATTCAGCCTGTCGTATTTTGGAGAAGGAATCCGGCTCTGAGCTGCAAAGATCCGAGAAAGGAAGGTTTCTTAAAGCAACTGCACATTAGAGGGAGATCATCTGTCAGCCCGATGCAGCAGAAGTTGTCGGAGCTTGCAAAGCACCATGTTGCCTAGGCTAATGGGATCAGGCAGACTATTCAGCCCCAAACTTCAAGGGTCCTTTGTATTCATCCCTGCCCCTATAATGTGCACACATCCTGGGAATTGAAGGTGATGCTCTGAGCCTCTTTCACTGGAAGCACTATTATTATGACATGGAGAAAAGTGTGGCCTAGAGTTTTTTACAGTCTGTTTTGTCTTTTACTGCCACTGAATAGGATGGGTGGCATCTTGAGATCCAGGTTGCCCGACAGTCTTATAACTGGAATTCAAAGGGTGGCTTGCACGATGTTATTTCTGAGTCGGGTTTCTAAAGGTGAACAGCCCTAGTAAAAAGATTCCCTAGCACGGTGATTCTCGGGGGTGCTGTGAGATCCTTTCAAAGCTGCTGCGGGGTGCAGTGCAGTGGTAGCACTGATAGCCATGCAAAAGAATTCACAAGATAAACCCATTTATCACCCCCCTGCCACCTATGTGTCTTGCACTTATAGTCTCCCATCCCCTCTATTCCTCGCTGCCACACATTTTGCATTTTCACAGACCTGCATTTTGCATGTTGGCTTCTGCTCCACGCAGGAGAACACAAAACACCATCAGACTCTCCCTATGCCTGAAGAAGGGCCTTTGTACCCAAAAGCTTGCAAAGGACATTTTTTCCCTACTATTTAGCTGCTCTACTAAAAGAGATCACATTTACCCAAAGGACCTTGCCTGCCAAGATAAACTCAGAGATTTCAAATAGGAATCCAGAGGGCCAAAAACATTCTGACCAGTTGTGATCTTACGCTGTTATTTTTTTTTCTATGGTATAAAAAATAAGTGAAAAGTAGGAGCTGGCATTTTTCTGAGGGGTGCCTTCAGTCTTGAGCAGTGCCTCAAATGTATCGAGGGGGACCTCGAGTCTAAAAAACTGGAGAACCGCTGCCCTAGTACTGTAGTGGCTTTGTTCTTAATGTTTTACCTTTTCTGACTCAAAGTATAAATCAGTTGATTTGTGCATACACATCTCTGCAATTATCTTCAAACTGCAAAAATACAAAAGGACTCAAAATGAAATTATCACTGCTCTTAAATGATTCTTCTACAGTTGGCAACATTTTGTTAAAAGCATGTAATTTTCTTTCTACCCCATTATTATAGAAACACACTGTGGCGTGCCCAGGATTTTTCTGGGGCGGGGGGGTTCCCCATTTGGGGGTTTGATCCTGCCCTTTTTGAAAGTCAGCGGTAAAACTCCCATCTGCTTCAGTGGCGAAGGCTCAGGTTCTTGGATAACAAAATATTCATTGTCCGGATTGGGTTAAAGGATGGTCTGTTTTTTGACTGTTTGCTAAAAAAAATAGATTCCTTCCTTGCCCTATTTAATGCAACCTGCGATTCAAACAAAGATTTATGAGGCTGTTGGTACCTTAGGTATAATCTATCCTAATAGGATTATTCTAATATGTTGAGTTTGTATAGTCAAGGATAACCCGTATTTAGTAAACACACACATTTCTCTGTGTTTTTAGAGCGTGCATTTGTAACCCGGCACAAATAATACCTTTTACACACAGAAATATGCTTGCAGAACCTCTTGAATTTAAATCTAGAAAAGTGTCAACATTTTTTTTTTTTTAAATAATTTGTACATAATATTCCTTCCCAATATTGGTGCTGCTTTGTTGGTAATATACCTAATTTATCTCCCCTAGAGTCACTTTTGAGAATAATCATTTAACTCAGAAAGCAAGAGAGCATTGTTCTTAGCACAGTCTCATCGCTAGTGCCCCTAGCTAGTATTTGTCTAGAAATGTCTGGCTTCTGTCCAGATTTACCAAGGAGAACATAGGAGGTTTTTATAGCAGCATCCTTGGGTGGTCACTTTGTTATCTAAAACACCCTTGATTTACATGAATAACAACTCTGTAACTCTCTGTGTTACCCCAAAATCACCTATGTGACAACAGGAGTGGGTTAAAGTTGCATTTTATTTCCAAAGTGGTGTTAAAATGATCCCTGTAACATTTATGCCTTTTTTTTTCTTTCCCCCCCACCATGTGAACATTAGTGACAGTCTCTCACTGCTCTTAGACAGCACATCATTTGAGTGAGAACAAGTGGTCCCTGTCTCACCCCCCGAGTCGGAGGCGCTGCTGCAGGCGGGGTGGCGTGGTGTGCCAGGCAGGCGGGTGGGCAGGGAGCAGCACCTGTCTGCCCACCCACCTGGTGTGCCATGCTGCTCCGCAGTGCTTTGCCTCCCCGCCGGACTGCGCCCCGCATCTCTTTGTTTCCTGGATATTCATTTTAATTCTCACCAGCCGGCCAAAATCCAGGACAATCCTGGCTAAACTGGGCTGTATGGTCACCCTATCTTTAGCTGTGGCTAAAAACCATAACTCGGGTATGGTGACATTAACTCAGGTGCAGAAATGACTGACAGTGATGTATAGGAGGCACTGCCACGACACTCAAAAAGACTAGGTTTCGTTTTACAAATCTGAATAGGAGACCATACATTTAACTACGATGACTAGAGGACTTAATGGCTCTCTTGACTTGTTTTTGCCTAGTTTGTTGCGGGTTTTTTGTTAACTCTAATACATAATCTAGCAGATGAGTGTACATTGGAACTCTTATATTGGGTTTTGCATTGATCTGAAACTTTATAACCTAAAGCTAGGCCCCTAGCAGACTAGTAAGACGTGTGGTTTCTCTTGAATTGGAGAAAAATGTGGGTTGCGTTGATGCAGGACATCATCCACATGCTCCGTTTCAAAATCCTAGATCCTCCCATGGTTTTACCTTGTTTCCGCTGAGCTAGGACCAGGTTCCAGCTGTGAAGCCATGTCACCATAGCTCCCAGGAAGAGCACTGGGAGGCCGTATTCAGAGGGTGCAAGGTGCCTTACTCGACTGCAGAGCGCCTGAAGGACAACGGGGCGCTGCAGATCTTGGGAGCCACAGCTTGGGCCCTTCATAAACACAATCCAGCACCAAGCCACGGGCAACTGGGAGAGATCCCAAAGGGTGAAATGCCTGTTACTTATGGGCCAGCTGCCCTGACCAGCCCTGTAATTACAGCGGTCCAGGCTGCCAGAAGGATGTTTCCTCTCCTACTGACACTGGGATGGGCCAAGAGCCTGGTGTCTACCTTGATAAACTGGTCCTTGGTGAGTGTCTGTGTTTTCACCTAGAAAGTGCTCTAACTGCCTTTTGGCTTTCCTTCTTTTTAGGATTGTGGAGATATACAGTAGAAGATTACAAGGTGAGCAGTCAGCTTTATTCTTGGGGCATGTAGAAAAGTAGGGCTGGAAGAGACCATAGCGGGTCGCCTGGTTTAACCCCCTGATTCTTGCCTAAACCATCCCAGACAGATGCTCACTTACCCTGCACCTCAAAACCCCCAAGGATGCAGACTTCACCCCCCTCTCTACATAATCTGTCACAGTCCTGAACTGCTACTTGAGACAGTTCTTCATAACATCCAACTTAAATTGCAACAGGGCAGATTTTATGCCTATCACTTCTTGTCCTGTCCCCCCGTAGCTAAAGAAAAAACCCAGTTCATCGCCATCTTCTTTAGAATGACCCTTCTTTGTATTTGAAGACTGCCCTCAAATCCCCACTCTGTCTTCACTTCTCTGGGTTAAATGATCTAATTTATCCTCATAAGAGAACCGCAGGCTGTGGTAGTCTCTGCTGCCTGGAGGAAGATGACCACTTTTGACCCGCTGGTAGGGTTTTTGCAGCAGGGCTGTATGTGGCCAAATTGTAAGCGGCGTTAGGGGGAAAATGCTCTGAGTTGGCAGGACAGACATTTGTAGTTCTGTGCTGTGTTTCCTTCCTTGTCCAAAATCTTACCACTAGCTCAGGCATTTCTACGAGCCATGTATCTACTGAAACGGAGGGTATTCTTGAGGGCTGTATGCTCTCGGTTCCTTTTTTTTTTCCTACTCCTCTTCACTCGTGGAGTTGTTGACCCTAAATCCCACCCGCTCTTCTGGTCAGCGGAAACAGAAGAAACTATTACTAGGGGGTTGCATTTGGGCCTGGCCAAGGGTAGGTTTGACCTCCCTGACCCAACATTTGTACCTTCCCTCAGCCTGTTCTGGACAGTGGGGCTCTCAAAAGACAGTGCCGAGGCACCTAGCATCATGGTGACAGCCCCTTTCCCCAGGGTCTGGGAGCTCCCAGCCGTGGGAGCACCCTGCACACCCTCCACAGCCAGGAGATCACTTCTGCGGTGACCTGCCAACCCCAAGGGTGTCTTCGTGCACCCCTCCCAGGAGGGCAGATCGCTGCAGTGGAGATCTCCCCACCCTGGGGGTTTCAAGTACCCCCAGGACTGGGAGGTTGTAGCTATGCCCTGCATGCTGAAGGGATCCTGGGTGCCGGCAACTGCAGGGTGCTACCAGGACCCCGAGTCTGCACTTGCTGGGGCTGAGAGTCCCCAACGGTTCTGGGTCTCGGACAGGGCTCCCCCAAAGCTGGCAGGGCTCCCAGCTGCAGGGGGGAAGTCCAGTGCTAATTAAAGCTTGATGGCTACCAGCTATAAAGTTAGTACACATTTTCAAAGTCTAACTTCATAGCAGTTTGGAGCTTTTTATTGTGTGATCAGTACCGTGCACGTGCAGCTGGTCTCAAGGTAATTGCACAGTTCACCGGTCAATTGTGCAATACTGTAAATGTGTCGAGGGGGCCTTAAGCTCAATAGCCAGGAAGTGCAGGGATACAGAGGAATTCCCTTATCTAATAGTGCCCCCTCTCCGGTGCGCGAGATACAGATCCAGCAGCAGGGGGGTGGCTGGCATTTCTGTGCCTAATTCTTCTCATGTCCCTGTTGTGTCCGCAGTCCAGGAGCGCCTTACCAAACAAATTGCAGTAGCCATCACCGAAGCCTTACAGCCCGCTGGCGTCGGAGTGGTTATCGAAGCAACGTAAGTCACCGTGAGCCGTTCTTCTCTGTAGTGACAGGCCAGGACTCCAGATGGGCTGTGCTTAAGGCCCGTCGGTCTATATGTTGCGCATCTGCTATTCCTTGCATGACGTGTCTCCGTCAAAGTGGGGTACGCAGTCTAGCCATGTGACAGCTCTGCTCATGAGCCGGCACCTCCACAAGGGCACGCGGCACTGGCTGCATCTCAGCTGTCAGCATGCTGCTGGATTAGAGCCCCGTGCGGGGAGGGGGGTGGCTATCTCTTATCTTATGCAGCGGTGGCAGCTGCCTGCTTAGCCAGCAGTCCTAAATAAACCTGGATCCAAATTCTGCCATCGTTAAAGGCTAAGTACGTTCTGCAGCAGCACTTGGTTCGTGTTTCTAAACAGGTATGTTGCTGCATTTTTAGCCGTGCATTAAAACGATGCCAGGCTTGCAGGCTATTGTTCAAGGGAAGTAGACCTTCCAAGTCCAGTGCATTTGGAAACCTGACTATTCAGGCTCCTTGCAAAACACTGACTTAGATGCTTTCAACAGACTCATTTGCCTGAAGAGCAGGTTAGTTCTCTGCAAATGATCATCAGGGTTAAACGCGGCCCTGGAAAACAGCCGCTTGTCATAGCCCACATAGAGCAAACCAGCCTGATTCACATGGCACCTCTTTCATTTCTGCTAGGCACATGTGCATGGTAATGCGTGGGGTCCAGAAGATGAACAGTAAAACAGTGACTAGCACAATGCTGGGCGTATTCCGGGAGGATCCAAAGACTCGCGAGGAATTCTTGTCGCTCATCAGAAGCTGAAACGGTGCCGTTCTCCGAATGCACTCTCCCCGGTCGTGCCGTCCCGTGTCCGTCTGTCCCTCACCATTTGTACATCTGATTTTTAACCCGAGCTGTTGTGAGTTGTTGTCCTAACTTGTGCAGTATGAGGCTTGCGCGCAAGCCCAAATGTAACAAAGAGATAGGTCCTGTGAATCTCTAAACTGTCTCTCGTGTCACAGGGGAACACAGCTACCAATAGTTTTTAATTATGCTGTCTCCCGTCTACAACACAAAATCGACCGCCATCGGAAGAAGCGGCAGAAGGGTGGGAAAGAAGAGCCTGTTTCTAATGTAAACCTGTCTTTGGTAAATGAAGTACGGTGTGACATAGGAAATACTGAAAAGCTGCAGAGTTTTTTGCAAGGTCACGTACATGCATCAATGCCTGAACAGGAAGCTCCTGAATTCTCTCCCAGGACAGTTCAGGACTCCTACGGTAACTTTAATTGCAGCTTGTCTGCCGTGTCTCGCTTCGGTCTCTGAACGTGTATGTTATACCTCTTTGTGTGACCCGAGTCTGGTGAGGATATGTATTTTGTTAGCATTCGCCTGCCTCCTTCTGTTGTTTTATGGTGAATTAAAGACGCTTGTTTTCTAGTCCTTACCTTGCAGGGAACTAATTTCTAAACAATTCAGGGGTATAGTCTTACCTGTCTTCAGGGTTTTACGCACCTTCCTCTGCCTCAGCGTGAGAAGATTTTACCAGTCAACGTTTAATTTTTTTTTTTTAAAGGAATCTTTATACAACCCGCTGTTGAGTTGGCAAGGGAGCTAATGACTCCAACGAGGTTTTTTGACCACTTTATCTCGTTGAATTTGCCTCCTTGGATTTTTTGATGGGTTGATTGGACTAGACTGACAGTTTCCTTTTAGAATATTTCAAGTTTCTAGTTCATTGGGCCAAAGCTTTGGGAAGGAGCTCGCTAACGCTGCCCACTCTCCATGTCCTTTCTGAGAGGGTGTAATTCTGTGGCAGGGACCCTTGTAAATGCACTGGCGTCATTGTTCAGTTGGCCCCTTGTATAGGGACAACCGAGCCATGTATTTCCAGGGACACCAAACACACGTTAAACCTCAGCATGGAAAATCAGACAGCAAACTGCACTGGATCTAGTTGATTAAATCCTTAGGAAAGAATTAATGAGTACTCTCTGACTCTTTAATTGGGACAATACAATACAACGCACAAATCACTCCCTCCCCTTAGAACTAGCAAAAAATATGCTTTGCATACTTTATTATTATTATTATTATTATTATTATAGGACTACAGTTTAATTTAATATGGCACAATATATGCTTCTGGGTGTTACTATATGAAGTCCACCATGTGCTCACCTCCCTGGTGAATCTTGGTCTTACAAGCTGCAGTGTCCTGACCCAGCACACATTTTTGCCTCTCTTTTCTCAACCTTTACTAGAAGCAAAGTGAAAAAATGCCAGGCTTAGTTTCCATCAGGCCTGAAGCTTTACAGCAGGGTGACTGCAAGGACTAAAAGGGTGGCCTTCCCTTATTACAGCTCTGTAATTGCCAGCACCACTCACTGCCAGTAATTTCCAGAAACACACTGAAGATGTCTCTGCTTAATTACACCAGCTGGGATTTGTCATTTAATGCACTGTACAGGATATTGTGTTCAGTCTGAAAACACTAATCTCACTACTGCCAGGATGGACACGCTCAATGCATTGCTCTGTGGCACTTGAACTGTCCTGGGCCTACCTTGTTGTTCACACATGCACACAAAGTCACTTTATTTTTATTTATTTTTTTTTAATGAAAGCGCTCAATTTCTACTGACTCTGAGAGCAGAATTTGACTATTTTGAGTTTAATATATTTTTATTCGTTTTTGGTTTAAAAGCCTTAAGTCATACTTGTCTGGAGTTCAGAGGAAGAGGGTTTTTTTCTTTTTTTTTTTTCTTTTTGTCTTAGCAACTTCAGAACATTTTTAAGGACCAAAGACGCATGCGCACTGCTACTTTCCCGAACTCACTTTCATTTGGTTGCAACCGCCTGTCTCTTGTAAAGCATTGTCTTGCACCTGAGATAACAGAATGGGTTGGGTGTTAGCTATTTATTCAGGATAAAGTTCTCACTAGGGCACCAGGCTTTGGTATTTTATTTCAACATCATCTATAGTCTTGGGAACATACCTCTATTTGTATGCGTGGCCTTGGATTTTGTTCAGACTTTTGTAGGCTGTGGTGAGTTTTGGAATACCGTGTGTTTGATGATAATGAGCTTTAACTACATCCAGTGTATATATGTATAGGGCATTACAGTCTGCTGTTGTACTGCATACAAGTCTATTGTACCAACACATTAAAGTGCAGTATTATCCTTTGGAGAGTCGTCGTCATTTGCGAGTCTGTGCGGTGATGGCATCCAGCCCCTTCTCGGAGAGCGGTTTCTGCGGCGGCACGTGCCTCTGCATTCACTAGGGTGGGGGTAGACACAGCGCCTGTCCAAAGCAGTCTTTTCTCCTCCTATGACATCCCTTTTAAGTTAGTCTTGAGCAACAAGTTCAGGTATAATATGCATCTTGCCGCTCTACAGACCTCCTTCGGCCCCTTTATAGTGTACATCTAACTGAGCAGAGGCAGGCAGTGACCTGGTAACTTCAGCTGGATGTGGATAAAGCCCCCAGGGGGGCTGAGATTTGGACCTGGGGGCTGGATTTACAGTCCCAGAGCTGTGTGGCGATGCAATGACACTCTACCCTCTCCATGCTCCTGGAAGTGGACTTCCCCTGGTGCCAAATCCAGCCCCAAAGCAGGGCTGGCCTCCAAGCAACTAGCTGCATGCTGCAGAGGCTGGCACTGCTCGGGCACATTGGGCGTCTTGTCCCTGCTGGAGGCAGGTGCCATGGGGAGGATGGGGTCCGGTGGCCTGGGTGAGCACAGCTGCAGGGAGACTAGTGCTGCCCTTGCAAAGTGGCTCACAAGACCTGACCTCTCCAGAAAAGGAGACTTGACTGATCTAGCCTAGGACTGGAGGGGCCATAGAGACCAGTCCCTTGTGCTCCAAGGTAACTATTGCCCCAAGAAATTCCCTGACTGGTGACATCAAAACCCTCGTGCTGCCAAAATAGCGGAAGGAAAACCACTGCCAGTGTCGTGCCTCTGATCAGGGTTGGCCAGTCTTGTGAATGTAACAGCGTTTCTTCAGTATCCCCATAGCCCTGTTTAATAAACAGATTATCCACCTCTGCACGTACCGCAGCCATATCCGTGCCTACACATCACTCACTTTGCAGTTTCTTAATTACACCTGTTTCCACATGGCTGTCTTTGGTGGATAAGAGCATCTACAGGCCGTCCTCAGAGGTTTACTTCTGCATCTGTTTAGTGCTAGCTTTGCCACTGCTGCACAGCCCATCCCTCAGGGCTTTCAGTGATGTGTAGGCCTCCTAGCAGCTTGTACAAGCCCCCAACATACCCTGTTGGGCCTTGCTCCCACCCTTGTGGGTGGAAGGGCTCTGTCCAGCCAGCTGCTTCCCGGTGGGGCTCCTGCTCGCTTAGGGCAGCAGGGAGGGAAGCAGTGGGGCTGGTGCAGGATGCAGTTGTAGCTGTGCAGAAGCGGGAGCCTGCACCCAGAGGAGCTCAGCTGGGCAGGGTGCAGATGGGAGGGTGTAGGGGACCCTCCACACCCTCCCCGCCCCCCACATGGCATGCAACCCCAGCTGCCAGCAGCAGGCGGGGAGGTCAGGGCTCAGCGCTGGCTGTTTCCATCGCAGGGGCTCCGCACAGCATGCCTGCAGCTCCAGCACTCACAGTGGGAAAGCCCTGGGCTGGACTCTGCGGGGAAGCAGGGGCTGGGGCTCCCTCCACTCCCGGCAGAGTGCGGGGACCTACGCAGCAGGGAGCGGGGGAAGCAGCAGGCTCCGGTACAGAGCTTCCCCTGCTCCGAGTGCTGGAGCTGCAGGCGTGTGGTGTGGAGCCCCAGTGATAGGGCAGGCTCCTCTCCCTCCTCCCACGAAGCACTGGCTGTAGCCGCACCTGCACCAGGCACGAGCACCCTACCTCCCTGCCTGCTGCTGCCAAGCAGTGGGGGCTGTACCCCGGGGGGGAGGGAGTGGGGTGTCCCTACAACCCCCACCCTTCCTCACACCCCACACACCCACAGCCTGTCCCCACAACACCCATCGACATATACATACACCCCAACATATCCTATGCCCCCCTACACCCCACCACACACACACACACACAATATATAAGTGACACTTTATTTTGGGGTTATTATGCAATCCCTTCTATATACAGTGCACAATCACAAGTCATGACATATTTTTGTAATAAAATTAAAATATGTTATAGTAGGTGTTTGACTTCTAGTGTATGATTTGTTTTTTTCTGGTTCAAAGATGGCAACCCCCTCCCAAAAGGAGTATTTTGGGGAGTAGGTGGGGCAGCAAGGGGAGGGACTGCCAGTGACAAAGGTCAGGGGTTAGGGGGCAGGACTTCTGGTAATGTGGGACAACTGTCAAGGGGTGGGGCTACGTATGCGGCCCCTGACAGCTCACCCCAACTTGTTAAGCGGCCCTCCGCCTGCAATAATTGCTCGCCCTTGATCTACGGGGACAAGGCCTTCACCCTGAAGACCTTGCAGTCTTCAAAAAGAAGGGATGCAAGTGAGCTCTGGGTCGTCTGCGCACAGGAGTGCTGATGCGAGATGCTGCCTGTGCACGGCCCTGTTCATACACCGTCTCAGAGCCTCCCTTCAAACATATTTCATAGCACCCCAACTGCAGCATTTGCTTCCGGCTGGAGACCAAGGCAACAGGGCTTTCCAAAAGACCTAAGTTGGGTAGAAACCTTCATCATAAGCAGATTTCAACTTCCTGTCTTTAAGCGGTTCATAGATTCATAGATTGTGGAGTCGGAAGGGACCACAATGGATCATCGTGTCCGACCCGCTGCCCCTGGCAGGAAAGAGGATTGAGGTCAGATGACCCCAGCCAGGTGACTGTCTAGCCTCCTCTTGAAGACCTCCAAGGTAGGTGATAGCACCACCTCTCTTGGAAGCCCATTCCAGATCCTGGCCACCCTTACTGTGAAAAATTTCTTCCTAATATCTAACCTAAATCCACTCTCAACTAGTTTACACCCGTTATTCCTAGTCACTCCCTGGGG